TGCCTTAAGTAATTAAGGCATTCCTTTAGGAGGTACCATCGAACTTGATCATCTGACATGCTGCTCATGAAAGCACTTTACAACCCACCCCAGCTACTACAGGGGGATAATTCGGGTGCAGCTGGGCTGGCTGCCAAAGCATCCCCACGGCACCCCAGCAAGCTGTCAACTGATGGAGGGTGGCGTGACAGCCAGGCTGCAGAACGTGCAGCATCTAGTGCCTGGGGCAGGTCATGCCTTGCTTACACTTGCATGCACGAGGGGTACTCCCTGGATATATGCAGAGCTGAAAGGGGCCTCACACATCATCCAAACCAACGCATTTTACACACAGGGAAACCAAGGCCCGGAGAGGTCAGGGCCATGTGCGGTTTGCGTGGTTGGTTGGTGGTTGGTCAGGACCAGCGCCCAGCCGGCCTCCTGACGCCTGGATCATGGCTGGCTCCACGGCCGCAAAGGCAGGGGCAGAGAGGAATCCGCCCCTCCTGGGTCCTTCTCTGATCCTGACGCTGTCCCAGGCAATGCTTTGGGGTCATTGGCTGGGTGCACGTTGGATTCCCATGCCCTGGTCTAAAGCTGACCTTTCACCAGCCCAGAGAGCTCCCTCCAGGCTTCAGGGAGCTGGGAGCTGTAGGGAGGGAGGGCTGATCCAAGGTGCTGCTGCCACCTCCCCTTTAGAAACATGGAGGGAGCACAGGAGTGGGGAGACCTGGGTGTGGACAGCCTGTGATATGAACCACGTGCTGTCCTGCCCTGGGCCACAGCTGCCCAGCTGACTTCCCGGGCTGGGCGTGAATCAAATGAGGTCACACGAATGGCGACATTTGTGAGCACTTGCTGGGAGCTGGCACCCTTCTGAGACCTGGACAAACTGTCCTCCCCACGACATTGTGAGGTGGGCCCTGCTGCCGTTCTCCTTCAACAGCTGAGGATTTGAACCTGGGCAGTCTGGCTTCTGAGCGGAACTACCACCCCATATTATGTCAGTAGACTGTAAAAAATGTTTCTAGGGGCCGGCCCAGTGGCGGTGTAGCAGTTAAGTGCGCGCACTCTGCTTCGTTGGCCCGGGGTTGGCAGGTTTGAATCCCGGGTGCAGCCCTATGCACCACTTGTCAAGCCATGCTGTGGCAGCGTCCCGTATAAAGTAGAGGAAGATGGGCACGGATGTTAGCCCAGGGCCAATCTTCCTCAGCAAAAAAGAGTATTGGCAACAGACGTTAGCTCAGGGCTAATCTTCCTCATGGAAAAAAAAAATGTTTCTGAATGGTTTCAAACTGTTACAATTACGAGCTACAGTTTGATTAATAATATTGCTAGACTTTAAGAGGAAGCCATGTTTTTGTTAGGAATAATATTGCTGATCTTTGGACTCACAACCTGGCGCTGCATACATAGCCTTTACCTGCGTCCCTTTGACACGGGGGGACGTGAGTGGCGCTGGACTTCGTAGGATGCTGCCCCAGCAGCCTCAGGGTGGTGCCAATTCTTACTAACAGAAGCGGACATTCCTGAGATGGGCTTGTTGCAGAATGCTTCCCTCCACCCCCACCCACTCCCGCCACAAACTCACTTTGGCTTTTCCTGAGGAGAAATAGGGCATTTATATGACCAGATATAAATAGGGGGACTTTCATATTTTTAAATGAACAAAGGTGGGCAATGTAAGGCTTCCAGGTGGCAGCTGCTACCATTTGGGTTCTTCCAGGTGCCAGGCCCCGTGCTGGGCACCCCGTGTGCGTCCGTTCGTTGATTCTCTCGGCAGCCCTCCCTAGGAGGGGAACTGTCATCAAGTAGAACCTCTTTACCCATGAGGGGATTGATGCGTGTGTGATGAAAGTGAAGTGGCTGCCCACCTCGCGCAGAGCACCAGCCCAAGTCCGTACAGTCGGCCGTGGTGGTGGACGGCAGGGGCTTTGAAGTCAGGCGGGCCTGCATTTGAGAGCTCCTATTTCGTTCATCCATTCAGTCACTCATTCACTCACTCACTTGACGTACATTTCCAGAGTGCCTCTGCTCAGATGTCCCCTCCTCAGGGATGCCTTTCTGGACCATAAAATAGCAGCTCTACAGCTTGCACTGCCCTCCCCCCCCGCCATGTTATTCCTCTTTATGGCGTGTATCACCACTGGCCATTGTATATGTTTCTTTCTTTAGTATCTTGCCTTTCCACAAGAAAGATAAACTCTACAAGAGGAAACTCTGTGCTTATTTTGTTTGCTGCTGTATCCCTCGCACCTAGGACAGAGCCTGGTACAGAAAAGGGACTCAGTAAATATATGTCAAGTGAGTGAATGAATGAGTGAATGAATGAATGAAAGGGAGCTCTCAAACCCAGGCCCATCTGACCTCAAAGCCCCTGCCCCCCACTGCCACAGCGGACTATCTTCCTCCTGTGTCCCACCCCCTGCTGAGTCTGACCCGGTGGTTTTGGGCAATTCACTTCCTCTCTCTGGACCCCAGTTTCCTCATATATAAAATAAGAATGTTGCTAGGGTCCCTCAAGCTTTAATATTCTAAGTGTCAGACTCTGTTGTCACCTGAGCATATTCACTGGGCACAGAGGGTTCCAGTCATGACTGCGGCCCAGCCCAGTGCCTCAGCTTGCAAGTCTGCACCAGCACTTTGCATCCTGCAAACCTGATGGCCCAGGAGGCCCCTGGGCCCCCATCCTGCAATGCAGGATGCTCGTGCACGAGAGTGACGTCTTAGGAAAAAGGAGGCAGCTCAGACTGAGTGATGCCCGTGGTTTCCATGATGCTGCTGTGGGTATCCTCCGGCTTTACCAGAAAGTGCTAATTGTCCTTGAGTCCTCCTAGTTTAAAATGATGCTGCTTTCCCTCCCAGCCCTTTCTCATGTTGGTGACTGGAGCTGCCACTCACTAGGCTATTTTTGGGGAAGCATGTTCTCTGATTGGTCAGCATCAACAGAAATTCTGCATTCTTGCAGGCCTGCCCCTTGGTTTTCTCCAGTTGTGACGTGACGAGCAGTAAATCATACCTAATGCATTGCAGATTGTTCTGATCAAATTCCGCTGCAGGCAGAGTACCTGGACAGAGGCTCTGAGCTGAGGCAGCCTGGAGATTGCAGTCTCCAGAGGGACCCTGATTCTTCTCCCCAGCCCTAGTTTTTAATAAAAACTCTTGTTGGAAGCTGTAGGGGAGTTGGAGTAGCTACCCAAGCAGCCATTGCATGTGCCTTAGGTTTTCTCCATTTGAGTGCCCTGGGGACAGGGACCTGCTGACTGGGGGTGGGTGGGGACTTATCCTGGCAGCCCAGACAAGAACACAGCCTCCCTGTTGCACAACTCCTAGGGTACCACTTGCTTGTATAGCATGGGCAGTGCAGCAGTCCGGGGGAGGCTGAGGGCAGAAGGGTCCACAGACACACAATCCCACCTTGGGGCACCTTCCAGGACACAAGGGGATGTTCAGCTGACTTCAGTGAAGTGGAATCCCAACAGAAAGCTGTGCTTTTTATAGGGAATTCTGGGGTCTTTTAGGGAGGCTGGCTCTGTCCTAGTCACTCCAAAGCCCAAGATCCTGACTGTTCCTGGCATGGAAGGGAACAGTCACTAAAGACTCACTGTCCCCCTCGGATGAGGAGGGCAAGGGGGTGCCACCCCCTGATGTGGTCCAAGGCCTGGGGAGGGCTGGCTAACCCCACAGACCAGCATGGACAGTCATCCCCATCTGCCAGGCTTCCCAGCTTCATTACGTGATTAACAGGATCCGGCTGGCCAGGTCCCCTCCAACGTCAGGTCTTTGCTGGAATCAGCCAGGAAGTCTGGGTCAAGCCCAGCAGGAGGGCGAGCCACGCACACTTCTGCTATGCAGCGACCTTGCCCTTGCCATTCAGGTGGCACATACCAGAAGAACAGACAGGAGCACGGCTTCCAGAGGCAGCTCCTTCCCTTAGTAAAGTAATTACAGAGCCGGGTAATTTATACCCCTAGAAAGATGCAGGGCAACTGTAGGCCGGGGTGTGTGTGTGTTTAGTTTTAAATCCTCCAACCTGCCCTCAATGAGGAAGTGCTTTGAAACATAGCAGAATGTTGGGATCCTTCAAAGGACGCATTTCCTCAGTGCTTTTCTTTCTTTAAGGGAAAGCATGTGAGACAGATGAGGAATGGCAGGAGCAGGAGGGTTTTGCCTCCCCCGCCTGCGTTGTGCAGACATTATCTGCTGTAAAACTGTCACTGAAGGATGGAGAGTGGCTCTTGGCTGTGGTGGCCCTCAGATAATGTCAGTGCTGAGCAATGACCCAGGATTTGTTGGCACTGAGCAAACACCGCCACGGCTCTGGTGCCAGAATTCTTAGCCGAGCCTGGTTAGCGCTCCTGCCCGGGGAATGAAGGGCCCTCAGGGGCTGGTGTCCAGGGACTCCACGGTGAGAGCTCTAGCCTTTTTTTTTTTCCCCCCCAGACACTAATGTCCCTTTGAATCACCTGGGTATTCTGTAAAACTACTGAGAAAGATTCAGTAGGTCTGGAGTGGGCCTGAGATTCTAACAAGCTCCATGATGCCACTGGCCCATGAACTGCATTTGGAATAGAAAGACCCCAGAGACACTGGCTTCCCTGTGTTCTATTTAGTTTTGGCTAAATAGAACACAAGAGGGTTAGGAATGGCCACAGCCTGTGCTACCCTGAGAGTGGAAGGCTGTGGGACCTCCAGATGCTCTTGAATGGTCTAGGATCTGCAATTACAGAAGGGAGCAGTGTTGTCGTGGACGACCCTTTTTGGGTTTGGTGTCTGGTGTTGCCTCTTCTGCCCCATCAGGTTTACCTTTCTGATGATGCTCAGGTAGAGCCTGTGGGAAAACTGAGTCTGCAGACCTCCTCAGTGGGCTTCCCCTGATGGGGAGGGAGGCAAGCTCAATACTCCAGCCACTGACCAGCCTCTGAGTGTGTGACAGGGAGTTGATTTGGGTTGTGTCCGCTTGGGTTCCCCACCTCTCTGGGGTGGCCAGATAATCCTCTCGTGCTCACCTGATTTCACAGGTCTCTGGATGAGAAGGAGCTGACAACAGCCCAGTCCCACCTTCTCTGTGTGCTGGGGAGCAGGGCTGCGTGGCCCAGGTGGCATCAATGCCGAAGAACAGCAAGGTGACCCAGCGTGAGCACAGCAATGAGCATGTCACAGAGTCAGTGGCCGACCTGCTGGCCCTCGAGGAGCCCGTGGACTACAAGCAGAGCATCCTGAATGTGGCTGGCGAGGCAGGCGGCAAGCAGAAGGTGGTGGAGGAGGAGCTGGACGCGGAGGACCGGCCAGCCTGGAACAGCAAGCTGCAGTACATCCTGGCCCAGATCGGCTTCTCCGTGGGCCTCGGCAACATCTGGAGGTTCCCCTACCTGTGCCAGAAAAACGGAGGAGGTAAGAGCCCGCCCTGCTTGCCCTGGGGGTGCCCTGCAAATGGGCTGGGCTGAGGGGCAAAAGGAACACCCCTTTGCCTGGGCAGAATTGGAACATTTGTAGGTAGAGCTTAGGCTTCCAGACTAAGACTCCCCAGGAATAGCTAAGAGCTAACGGCTCTCAGAGGCTGTCTGGCGTGGTGGTAAGAACGTGGGCTCTGGGCCTGGATGGCCTGGGTTCCAGTCCCAGCCCAATAGACAGCGCTCTGTGCAAGTTGCTTAGTCTCTCTGTGCCTCTCTGTTCCTCATCTGTAAAATGGGAATAATAGTAGTTCTTGCCTCATGGGATTGTTAGGATGATTGAAAGAGCTTTACATGTAGAACGCTTAACACTGTCTCTTACCCATAGTAAAGAGCAACTGTTGGCCATTACTATTAAATGCTTACTAGGTGCCAGGCACTCTTGTCAGCGCTTACTGGAGATTAGGCTGAAATACACGAAGGTGCTGATATCTGAGCGTCTTGGAACAACCGAAACACCGATTTCATATGGTTCAACCATCGAGTGCCCCCAGCAACCCTCTGTGAGGAAGGAGTTATCATCATCCTCATTTTAGAGACTGCAAAACCAAAGCACAGAGAGGTTAGATAACTTGCTCAAAGTCTCACAGCCAGTTTTTAAGTCACGATTCAAACATGGACAGCCCGGCCCCAGAGCCTGAGCACTTCATCACCACACCTGCTGCCTGCCTCACCCCGTCCCCTGAGTTTGAGCCCCCTAGAGGATCTTGTCCTGGTATCAGACCCCTTCTCACCACTTCCAGCCCCCAGGATGGGGAGATAACGCCAGGCCTTATCCCCCCGGCACCTCCAAGGCAGGCTGGAATGTTCCAAAGACAGCTTGCTATGAAAGCAGGGGAAAACTAATTGAAAATAAAGAAAAATCCAATGGGCTGAAAACAAGGACGTTTACAAGCTCAGACCTCTGGTCCTGGGAAAGTGACCTGAGCCAGCAGAGAGCTTCTGTGCCCCTGAGTCCCCGTGCCCTGGGGTTGCTGCGCTCCAACCTGATGGGTGGCCGCAGCTCTGCAGGCATTTTAACCCAGCTCCTTCCCTCCCTGCTCCGGGGACTCTCTCCACCTAGCCTCTCCCAGAGATGCAGCGCATTACAGGGGCGCTCCCTCCTCTCCAGGACACACTCTCCCTGGTCCAGAAGGCAGAGCCTGGCTGGAGGCTTCTCCTCCTTTCCAGTTTCTACTGGAGGGCAGGGAGTAAGAATGCCCACCTGAGCCCACGTAATTGAGTCAGGCCAGAGGCTTCCATCTTTCTGCGACAGCACAGTCCATTCCCTGCATGCTCTCCTTGCTTTGAAAGATTTTTTGCCCCCTATAAATAACTGCCAATCAGAGCTTTTGGTCGGTGTGGGATGGCCATGCGCAGGTCACTGTGTTGATATGAGCCCAAAGCAAAGATACAAATATAAGTGTGTGGTTTCCTTATGTGCCGTGAGATGTTGAGAAGAGTTCGGAGCATCCAAAATGACTTTGGAGGACACGTCACATCTGCGGACTCTACCTGGCAACCTCCAACCTTGTCCTTTGTGGCTCCGATGGTGAATCACAGAGTCCCTCTCCCCACCTCACACACCACCCCCCCAGAGCAGTGTTCTTCCAAATCTGCCAGTTCACAGGGTTGCCAGATAATCGCCATGGCACCACACGTCACACACAACCCCCAGAAGAAAAGTGTTGTTCGTGCTTAGGATTCTGAGCTCCCCATTCTACCTTCCTGCCTTCATTTTTCCATCCTCTCTGATTCCTGGAATCCCTTTTTATCTTTACCTTTAACTCTGTTATATTTACGGGTTTTATAGTAAATCCTCTTAAATGTTTTTTGGAAGAAGGCAAATTATCACAGGAAGGAGACAGCTATTTGGTCTGAGAGTTGAAGCTCTGTGTTTTTGAGCTGTGGGTGTTCCAGTCAAAACTTTGCTTAATTCTGGATGAAAACTCTGGAACTCTGCTTAGCTCCACCAGATGCTGACTGTTTCTTTATTCTGCATCCTCCTAGTTTGCTTATTTTTATGAGAAAGAGGAAAATGTTCAGCAAGTGCTTACTATGAGTAGGTAACTCATTTAATCCTCACAACAGCCCTGGGCAATAGGTGTAGAGTTGAAGCATATAAAATGGCCATTTTTTAAAATTAAGGTAACATTGGTTTATAACATTATATAAGTTTCAAGTGTACAACACTAGATTCGACATTTGTATAGACTACAGCGTGCTCACCACCAAAACTCTAGTTTCCATCCATCACAGTAAAATTGAGCCCCTTTAGCAATTTAGCCCTCCCCCAACCCCCCCCCTCCGCCGGTAACCACCAATCTGTCGTCTGCTTCTACAAGTTTGTTTTTATTTTCTTTTGTTTGTTCATTTGTTTTGTTTTTTATCTTCCACATATGAATGAAATACAGTATGTATTTCATATACAGTATGTGTTGTGCTCTGTCTGACTTATTTCGCTTAGCATAGTACCCTCAAGGTCCATCCATGTTGTCACAAATGGCAAGATTTCATCTTTGTTTATGGCTGAGTAGTATTCCATTGTATACATATACCACATCGTCTTTATCCATTCATCCATTGATAGACAGTTAGGTTGTTTCCTTATCTTGGCTACTGTAAATAATGCTGCAATGAATGTAGGGGTGCATATATCTTTTTGAATTAGTGTTTTCATTTTCTTTGGATGAATACCCACAAGTGGAATAGCTGGATCATATGGTAGTTCTATTCTTAATTTTTTGAGGAATCTCCATACTGTTTTCCATAGTGGAATTTTTCCACTATGGAAAAATTTACAGTCCCACCGACAGTGCACAAGGGTTCCCTTTTCTCCACATCCTTGCCAGCACTTGTTATTTCTTGTCTTTTTGATAATAGCCGTTTTAACAGGTATGAGGTGATATCTCATTGTGTTTTGATTTGCATTTCCCTAATAATTAGTGATGTTGAACATCTTTTCATGTGCCTGTTGACCATCTGTATGTCTTCTTGGGAAAAATGTCTATTCAGATCCTCTGTGAAATGGCCATTTTTGAAAGTAAAAAATGGTCTAATATCAGCAATTTCATATGGTTCTACCAAGTATTATCCTCTTTATGTAGATGATAAAACAGTGGCACAGAGAGATCAAGTAATTTGCCCAAAGTCACACAGCTAGTAAGTGGCAGAGCCAGGATTCAAGCCCAGGAGGTCTGGCTCCAGGGTCTGGATCTTAACCCCTACTCAGTATGCTTCTCAACAGGCTGAGACCAAGCGTCTTTCAAATCCCAGGAATAACCTTGGGGTTTGCCAGAGATGAGACCCAGAGTGTAGACTGAGACACAGACTATTAGATATCCAGGAGACCTTAGAGATTCTGGAATCCCCCTCCCTATAACCACATCCTGCTAAATTTCCTAACACCCTAAGAGTGCTCCCAACTGTTCAGACTGACAACCTGAGGCTCCTGAAAGCTGCTGAAACATCAAAGGAAATCAGATGTGTCCCCAAGTTGTATTTTCTAGGGTGGAAGGGGGTGCATTTCCAAATGATTTCAACAGGGGTTGATATGAAAAAGTACCTCTGATTAACCAAAAATTCTGCTCACCCAAACCACAGCCCCTGAGCCCTGTGGTTCACTAGGCCTCAGCTTGGTGGGCAGACCTGCAGTCAAGCCAGTGCCCCGGGGCCTGGCTGAGGTGGCTGGGTGAACGGGTGGCAGGTGGTGGGCGGCTGGTCTTTGCTGCAGGATGGCTCTTTGGACAGGACTTACCTGGAGGCTTTCCCTGGTCTTTGGAGAGAAGAAAGAAGCATCCATAGAGATACCAACCTGCTTCTCTGACACCCTGGAGCCCATCTCCCTGCACACCTTGCCCCACCCGAAGACATGCAGGCGAAATACAAAGCCAGTGGGGCCATGTCCCTTTCTTTCCTGCAGATCACTTCTCTCCTCTTCCATTTCCCTGAGCCCGAGACCAAGAGACAGAACGAGGTCCTTCAGGGGACACAACCAGGGGTCCTTCAGGCCCTCCCTCCTTTTAGCACCTTGATGAAGCTGCTTGTTGGTGACGCGTTGAATTTACGTGTGCGTGACTGCGTGCCTGTGTGTTTAATGAACTAGATGCTGTTGTATAAGGCTCAGTTGGTTGCCTCCCCTGGAAGCCTTTCCTGATTAGCTCCCTTGGACCCCAACCCCTCTCTCAGCACATATGTGCTCGGTTGGCCTTGTGTGACGTGTGTGTGTGTGTGTGTGTGTGTGTGTGTGTACACATGCACTGATACTGCTCTTGTGAATCTGAGGGTCTTGCCAGCTCTCCTGGGACAGCATCTGTGCCTTCTGTTGTCCTGATATGCCCCACTGCACATGGCTGGTACAGAGTGGATAACAACCAACTGTCACCCGGTGCTGGGTCTTGTGTTCAGGAGATGCCCGATCCCCTAGGTTCGTTGGCAGGTTGGGCACACGTTGGGGAGCATGTGGGATGTCATGTTATGGGGGCAGAGCAGTGTGGAGGGGTCTCTTGGAGACTCCCAGCTTGCTAGGTGTGGTCTGGGGGTGCTGGGTGACCATCAGGGCACTAGTGACCGGGGGTGGTCTAACACCATTTGACAGGCAGGCCGGGCTGTGCTGACAGCATGGCTAACGGGACTAGGTAGTTGGCACAGCTTTCAGCAGAGATCACTCGTCTGTGTCCAGACGTGGTTTTAATTCCCCTGCTAAACGCCCTGTCACTTGGAATCGAGATTGTGTCTACAGTGAGGTCCAGGGCAGCGATTTTAATTTATCATCTGGAATCTTTAGTGAGATCCATTCTACCTTTATGATCCTCCCAACTACACTTTCCTGAGCTGCTAATTTTTCTCCCGTTCCTGCCAATTAGCTGTAGATTAATGGTGATGCTGGTCAGACCTTCTCTCCCTGGAGAGCGTCCAAGCTCCGCTTCCCTGGAGCGGCCCAGTCTGCTGCGTCAGCATCTGGCTCAGACGCAGGGAAGGCTGTGCCCGGGGTCTGTGCCTCCCGAGGGAGGGGGGCGAGTGAGCTGGGGCCCGCTCCATCTGGCTACTTCTCTGTGGGCGGGAGGGAGTGTGAACAGGGTCCACAAAGCACATTGTGAGGTGAGTGTGTCTGTCTGCCGGGGACTTGACATATGGATTCCTGAGAGGCAACATGGGTCTGTCTGTCTGTCTGTCTCTGAGTCTGTCCTGTGAGTGAGAGGCATTGACGTACATCTGGATCCTCCCTTAGTGTTTTGGGTCAGGGGAGTCAAGGGGAAGAAGGAGGGTCTGGGTGGCCAGTGCATTGTAGATCACGTGTATGAGCCAGACCATTCCTGGAGGAGCACAAGGACTGGTGACAGATTGAGGGTGATCAGAGATGTGGCCAAGACATGGCTGCCACCCCCCAGATACCCTCTGACATCCTCCCTCTTCCCCAGGTGCCTACCTGGTGCCCTACCTGGTGCTGCTGATCATCATCGGGATCCCCCTCTTCTTCCTGGAGCTGGCCGTGGGCCAGAGGATCCGCCGCGGCAGCATCGGCGTGTGGCACTACGTGTGCCCCCGCTTAGGGGGCATCGGCTTCTCCAGCTGCATAGTGAGTCGGGGGCTGGTGGTGGGCGCTAACCGAGAGGCAGAGGGGCCGCTCTTGGGTAGACCAGAGTCCTGGGCCAGGTCAAGGGCATGGAGGGAGACCCTCAATGTGAGAATTGCTTCCAGCTGGTGTCTCAGGACCACATACTCCCTAAACTGGAAGTTGGCTCCATTGCCTGAAGCAGGAGATAGTATTTGGAACAGTTATGAAGGAGGAAAGACTGGGACACATTCACAAGGGGGTGCCTGGGACGTCTCAGCCGGAGTTCTCTGGGGACATGTGAGCCATCCTGGATACCCCTCTCTGCTTACCAGCCTGTCAGCTCCCTGTGAGAGAGGCCCTTCCTCTTTCCTTGGTTAAAAAGTATTTCAGTTGGGCAAGTGGGTGGCCCAGCTCCCTGTGAGAGAGGCCCTTCCTCTTTCCTTGGTTAAAAAGTATTTCAGTTGGGCAAGTGGGTGGCCCAGGAAAAGGCAAGCCTGGCATAGGGTCTCCTTGCCATTTCGCTGCGCACATGAGCAGAGTTGGATGACTCAGACAAGAGTCTGAGGCTGACCCAGGAAGGGTGAGGCTTCAGAACAGTGGGAGACAGGGAGACCCCACTGGCCTGGGTGGGGAACCCCATGAGGGCTCCAGGCTCATCCATGCTGCATGAGGCCTCCCTTAGCGTCTAAGTGAGGAAACAGAGCCTCCCGTAAGGGCAGAGCCCGCAGGTGCCCATGCTCACACCTGGGGTAAAAACTGGAATCTGCTCTGGAAGGGACTGAGGATTCTATCTGGCCTGGCAGCAGGGCCAGCCCAAACCTGCCTCAGGCAGACACTGGGAGAGGGTCTGCGCAGCTCTTGCTCTAACGCTGGGCGTCACCTCTGCACAGGTGACATGGCCGAATATAGCACACTCTGCTGGCGCTGGCCATGTGTATACGCATGGGTGTGAGGGGGTCCCCCTTGGACTGAAAGCACCCAAGTAAAGGCAGTGGGTGTGTCTCTCCTTCTGTATCTCCATAAGGCGTGCTGTAGGACACCAGGGCTCAAGTGAAGTTGATGGAGCAGGGGGCCCTCAGCTCTCAGTGACCAGCAGTGTCACTGATGCCTAATATCGCCAGGCCCCTGGAGCTCAAAGGGACCTATCAGCATCCAGAGTGGATGCTGCAAATCCCTACATGTGAAAGCGTTACTTTCAAAGAAACCCCATGGACCCTCAGTCAGAATCCACGTACTCCTATTTTATTTATTTATTTTTATTTTATTTTATTTTTTTTTGTGAGGAAGATCAGCCCTGAGCTAACATCCGTGCTAATCCTCCTCTTTTTTTTGCTGAGGAAGACCGGCTCTGAGCTAACATCTATTGCCAATCCTCCTCCTTTTTCTCCCCAAAGCCCCAGTAGATAGTTGTATGTCGTAGCTGCACATCCTTCTAGTTGCTGTATGTGGGACACGGCCTCAGCATGGCTGGGGAAGCGGTGCGTCGGTGCGCGCCCGGGATCCAAACCTGGGCCGCCAGTAGCGGAGCACTGGTGGAGCGGAGCACTGCACTTAACCGCTAAGCCACGGGGCCGGCCCCACACACTCCTATTTTAAATACAACTCTACCAAGGTTAGTTATCATATTTCCAAGAAATGAAAAGTGACATCTTTCTAGAGACAAGAAATGAGAACTGACGTCTTTCTAGAGGCAGGCTGCTGACAGTAACAAAGAGAGAGTAGCATCCTGAGAGAAGGGAGGACTCAGGAAACCAATCAGAAGCATCCATAAAACCTCACAAGGTGCAGCAGTCTGGTGCCGTTTACTATAGAGGCAGAAGCTGTCCAGGCCTCCCCAGTCCCGGAGGGCAGCTCGGGAGCTATGATCCTGAGTCATCAGGAAATGATGGGGAAGTGCTTCCAGCATCTTACAAGAATTTCAAACTGGAAAGGATTAACATTGTAAGAGTTTATTGCTTAAAGGAGAGAACTTTAATATCTGAAACATTCCTTTGTGGATTCCCCGAATACCAGATGGATGGAGGATTAGGACGAGGCCCTCAGCTGCCCACCTCTCATCCCTCCTCCTCCTCCTGCAAGGCTGTATGCTGTGTTGTGTGCAGTCACTGAGCGCTGGGCCTTGGGTGGGGTGTGTGTGGGGGAGTTGCCTGAACCTTCGTGACTCCCCACCATGGACGCTCGTCCTCAGGTCTGCCTCTTTGTTGGGCTGTATTATAATGTGATCATTGGGTGGAGCATCTTCTACTTCTTCAAGTCCTTCCAGTACCCACTGCCCTGGAGTGAATGTCCTGTCATCAGGAATGGGACCATGGCAGGCAAGTATGACCAACTGGGGACCCCAGCCAGCCCTGTCCTGGGAAGGCGTCGAAGGAGTCTAAGAGACTTAGGCACACATGTGGGATTTCATTGACTTGCTGTGTCACCTTGAATAAGACACCTACCCTCTCTGATCCTCATTTCCCCTTCTGATGATCTCTTGCCAGCCTACCCCACAGAGTTCTTATAGGGATTGAATGAAATAGTGAGTGTAGGTAAAACTCTGGAAACTGTGACTTTTATTTAGTTGTTATTAACTATCCTGTGTTATTCTAACACCATCGTATCTGGAAACAACCTTAATTTGCATGCCAGTCTATAAAGGGCTGGATGATTTATCCCACCTCACAGATGGGTAAACTGAGGCCCAGAAGCAGCTTTCCCATGGTCACATCACTGATTTAACCAAGGATCTGGGGTGAGAATCCAGGTCTCCAGCTCCCAGCTCAGGACCTTTCCCCAGGAACTTGAGGCCCAGCTCTGCCTAACCTTTCTTGCCTTGCATGGATGGAAGTGGGCAGAGGGTAGCATGAGTGGGAATTCAGCCAAATCAGATTCAGCCCATCAGATTCAGACCCAGGAGGCCTCAGGTCTGCCAGATCCTGGCTAACCCAGAACAAGCACAGCCCCTCCCTGCTACCCACACTCAGCCATCCCCTCGCCCCCTGCTGCCCTGGGTGGGGGTCCAGCAGAGGAGGCGGCCCCCCAGCCCCACCACTGAGGCCGTGTGGCCTTGGCTGCCGTTTCAGTGGTGGAGGCAGAGTGTGAAAAGAGCTCAGCCACTACCTACTTCTGGTACCGAGAGGCCTTGGACATCTCCAACTCCATCTCGGAGAGTGGGGGCCTCAACTGGAAGATGACCCTGTGCCTCCTGGTGGCCTGGAGCATTGTGGGCATGGCCGTTGTCAAGGGCATCCAGTCCTCGGGGAAGGTGAGTCATGGGGGAGCACTCAGAGCCTCACGGGGAGCAGCAGAAAAGCATGGAAGGCGGGGCTGAGAACTCCGGGCCACCCCATGCAGGGTCCTTTGGGTGGGCTCGGCCTCTGGATGGCTCAGGATGATGACACAGACCTCGGAGGAGGCGACGGGAGAGTCAGTGCTGCAGAGTTGTTCCCTGTGGACAGCCCACCAGGAGTGGGCTCGGAGTGGGCTTGCAGAAAAGCATTGATTTGACCCCTAGGCACCTCTGTGCTCAAATAACTCAGGACTGCTCTGCAAACTTGAAAGAGAAGAAAAACCAGACATTCGTCTAGATCCTAACCCCTCAGGTTCCCAAGAAAGATCCCTAGAAGATCCTGCTCTGAGCAATTTTTGGTAAAAACCAGCAGCTCACCATGTCTCCAGCTAAAGGGCTCTTTGCGCAGGTGGGTGAGTGAGTGAAGGGGCTGTGGAGGCCTCTGCAGGTGGCACCACTCCCGTCTCTGAGGGTGCGGACCAGCCCAGCCCCACACACCTTCTCCCAGCAGTTCAGATCCCCTTCGGGTAAGGGCCCTTTCTTCTTTGTCACGTGTCAGTATTCATGGACTGCCAGGGCTGGAAAGGATATTAGAGATCCTGTAGCCCAATCCGCTTGTTTCACAGATAGGGAAACTGAGGCCCAGGAGGGGAAAGTACCTTGCCTGAGGTGACACAGCCAGTCAGTCCCAGAGCTGGAACTAGAGCCTTGGCTGTCTGCTGAGACTCCAGGTTCTTTACTGGACTTTACTAGCAAGGGAGCTAAACCCTGGAAAGGTAGAGTGGTCTCAGCCACTGCCTCTTCCCTCTCCAAAAGCCGGAGACATAGCTGGCACTTCATGATGCTTATCAGGTGCTGCTACATGTACGAGTGCATTTGGTCCACAACAACCTTGAGTTAGGAATTCTTATACCCATTTTATAGAAGAGGCAATGGAGGCCCGCTGAGGTTAAGTAAATAGCCCAAGGTCACATGGTTGGTAAATGGTAGAGAGGATCAGAACTCAGGCGGTCTAGCTCGAGACATGCCCTCTCTTAACCTTCACACCATCCTGCCCACAGGGCCTTCTTGGTTTGTCTCGGGGCAGCACACGTTTTGTGAGCATCTCCTCTGTGTGAGGCTCTGTGCCAGGCTCACGGGGATATAGAATGTGCAAGAAATGCATGTGCTAGGAAACAGCACACGACTTATAATCACAAGAGGCAGGACCTTCTTCTGATGTTTTTGCTTGGGAGCCGTGTCTATAACTTCCTGGATGCCTTCTGTCAAAGGAGCTCTAAGGACAGGGGAGCTCTTAGGGAGTCCACTAGAACCAGGGACAAAAAAGCAGGCATGAGACGTGGAGAAGTGAGGAGGGGAGAGCAAAGGGATCCTCGCCCCCTTGGCAGTGCTCTGGGTGAGGAGACTGCAGGCCCAGCCCCGCCAACCCTTGAAAGGAGGAAACAAGCCCCAGGCACAGCCGCGCTGACTCCAGCTTGTCTGCGCTCCTGCTTCTGCCTTGGCTCAATGCCAGACACGTGGTGGGTTTGGCTGTGTGCCCATGGGTTCCAGGCCCATGCTTTCTGCTGCCATCAGAGGAGGCTCCTGCACCCCAGCTGTGAGCAGGGAGGGGCATGCCAGCTGCAGGAGGGGCTCTGCCCCACCGTGGGTCCCTGTCCTCTCCACAGGTGATGTATTTCAGCTCCCTCTTCCCCTACGTGGTGCTGGCCTGCTTCCTGGTGCGGGGGCTGCTGCTGCGAGGAGCCGTCGATGGCATCCTGCACATGTTCACTCCCAAGGTAAGGGTCTGGGGCTCCCGCACCTGGGGGACACCGACAGCTCCACTGGGCCTGGTCTGCTTCATGCAGTTTAACACTCGCTGAGGACCTGCTGTGTGTTAGGCCTTGTGTCGGGCCCTGGAGGGATGCCCTGGGGAAGGGAGCTCTGCCCTTGAAGTTCCAAGGAGAGGAACGTCACATCAGTTTGGGTGAAATCGGAAGAAGCCTCAGGGAGGAGATGACATCTGAAACGAGCATTAGGGAGCAGCTAGGATTTTAGTGAGCAGCAGGAGGACATTGCGGTCAAAGGGAACCGTGAGCAAGAGAGTGGAAAAGTACAGGGCATGCTGGAGGCAGTGGGGCAAGTCAGGTTTGACTGGGGCATGGGAGTGGGGGCAGAGTGGGTTTCGTTGAATAGATCTGAGACAGCAGGAATGAAGAAGAGGCCTCAGAGGAGAAAGCTCCCCGGGGACCCAGCTTGTACCCAAATCAGGGGAACGAGGTCACTATTGTATTAAAGAGCAGACTATGTGGATAGTGATTTTACCTTCCCAAATCCACATCTTCTCTCATTCAGTCCTCCCAGTAGCCCAGTGAGGGCCAGGGGGGACCACTGTGCAGTTTCACACGGTGCAGCAGGACACAGGCTCCTGAAGGGTATACCCAGGTTTCCTAGCAGGGGTCTTTGCCCACCATGTGGCCTTGCCTCTCTGTTCCCCCTCAGACCACTGGGCACAGCTGGCCTGAGCCAGTCCGCTGAGGAAGAAGAGAATTTCTAATGCAGGTTGGGATGCCCTTCAAGGTGCCCCAAGCAATGTACATTGTAACCCCAGCTGGGCAGGCTGAAGTCCACTCCCAATGCCAGCTGATCACTGAGCCACCAGCAGGGGCCTGGTGACACTCCAGTCCGCGGGCACGGGTCAGAACTCCACTGTCTGAGGCCTGGCACATTGGCCCTGAGTAGCACCATCTTGCGCGTGTGCTCACACACACACACACACACACACACTAACGCTTACAGAGGACGTTCACACAGATGACACAGGGAGAAGAGTCCAGAGCTAGTGGGTTTGAAATCCCCATTCCCTCCTGACTCCCCTGCTCTGCAGCTGTGAGCAGCTCCTGGTGTTTGGGGGATAGCAATGGGCAGGACACATGCCACTCCACGTTCCCCAGACGGGGCATAAATTGGCCCTGGCATTCTGGGATAGAACATCTGAGGTTTCTACATGAGCAACCACAGAGGTCCACTTCATGAACCATGTAGTGAATCTCCTGAGGCACGAGTGTGACCCCCGAGCCACGGGGCTGGCATAGGGTCTTTGTGAACAGGAGATGTCTGATGAAGAAGAAAAAAGTGCAAACCCGGTTTCTTTGGGGGAAAACAGCCATGAGAAGAAAGCCAGCTGTTTTTATGAATTACTTCAGCTGTATTTCTAGAATCATGATCTGTCTAATGCATTCACTTGAGTCTTTCAGTTAGACTTTACTGAACTTTATGAGGAAATTATATACTCTGGAGATGTTCATAAAAGTGGAGATTCACACAGGTCTCCAGATGGGCCCCTTGGCCGTAAGAGAGCCTGGTATGTAACTCCAGAATCAAGTGGACCTGATTCGCAAGATCAGCTACCGGTCCCAGTATGCACGATAATGCTCCCCATTTGATTCAGACGCTCATTCAGTTAAAACGTGTTTTTAACTATGAAATATCTCAGGCATATAAACACACATATATAATAATATAGCAAACATTCTTAAGAAATAAAATATCACAGATGCCATAAAAGTGCCTGTATAGCCCGCCCTGATCCCTTCCTCCCCAAAGATAACCACTATCTTGAATTTGGGATTTATCCTGCTAATACATTTTTTAAAATTTGTACATGTATGTGTATCCATAAACAACATCTAGCATTTGTGCATACTTTTAAACTTGACATAAATGGCATCATATTTTTATGCAACCTTTTGCAACTTGCTTTTAATCAACACTGCTTTTTGAGATTTATCTATCATGATATACGCAGCTCTATTGCATCCATTTTTGCTGCTGCATGGTATTCTGCTGTAGCACTAAACTAGTATTTATTTATTCATTCTCTAGTTGATGATCATTTAAGTTGTTTTCAGTTTTCACCATTGCTAATAATGTTACAATAGACATCGCACAGGTCTTCATAGGCATGAGTTTCTCTAGGGTGTATATGTTTAGGAGTGGAATTACTGTCTGAAAGGGTATGCATATCTTCAGTTTTACTAGATGTTGGCCGAGTTGCTCTCTATTAGCACTCCCACCAGTTGTATATGAGTCTCTGTTGTCCACATTTGTTAGACGGCCATCTTTGCCAGTCACATGGATGCAAAATGGGTGATGTGCACTTTGAACAACAGGGGGATGCTCCTTTCTAAAACCGTTTCCTTGATGTTTAGGAAAGAGTGTGATTCCACTTTAGTGTTTGCAGTGATTAGAGTCTTCATGAGAAAGAAATCAATCCGGAAGGCCCTAGAGGAGCCAGTTCAAGAACCAGCAGGTGTGGCCCCTGGCCCATCTGTTGTGGCTTTTGGTCTGGATAGAGCTTGTGAGGCTCATCTCGAGACCTTGTCCACTGAGCAGTTCTATGGGGCAGCTCCTGCCCTTGACCTTGGAAGGCTGTGTTGAGGAGGGGAGGGAAGGCCAAACTCCTCCATCAAGGATCCCCTTCACAGCCTGTTCCCCTGTTTCTTTGAGGCAAGTAAGGCCAGTAGTGATGGTTGGGATGAGGTTCCTATTTATAAATCTCTCTAAGTCATCTGCAACAAGGGTGGACCCACTCTCAGAAACAATCGTCTGACAGTCCACACATGGCAGACTGCTGTTGCAGAGGATTGGTGAGATATGAGGAACCCTGGAACCATTTCAAGTTCTCGCCCTAGAATGGTGCTATAGAGTGCCAGGGTCATTGCACACAGCTGCCCAGCCTGTGCACTGCTCCATTCATACTGACCACAATGTGAATGACATCCCTGAGGGTCATGCCATTTGGCAGCTGTGGCAGAGTCCAAGAAGATTTTTGGCCAGGGCAAATCAGAATCCACCTCAAAGAAGCATAGGATATGCTCCATGGATATGCTGAATGACCTGGAAATTGTTCCCTCCTATAAAGTCTTCCAACATCGGAAATAATCCAAGCTGTAGGACCTGGACTTTTAGTTACTGAATGTGGCAAATGCAATGTGGCCAGGATCCCATGATGACCCACTAGCATCTTTGATGGGACAGTAACTCATATGAATGGCTAATGAATTTCTTGAATTCCTTGGGCACCTTCTCTCGTGATTATTTTCTTTGCGTCCAGTTAAAAAACCCAAGTCAGTATCGGGTACAGTGCAATTAATCATGTGATCTGCTCAACACAAAGTGGTACATTTTTTAACCACCAAAACTTGCAGGGGATGTTTATTAAAATTACAACTGTTCATGTCCTTCAGCCCAGTGATTCCACTTCTAGGTATTTGTCCTACAAATGGACTCACCCACAAGCAGAATGATTTGTGCACAGTATTGGTCATTACAGCACATCTTTTAGTACAAAAGGTTGAAAACAACCCAAATGACCATCATTCATTTATTCCTTCATTCAGCAAAGGTTCACTGAATGTCCATGATGTTCTGAGCGCTGTCGTGGGTACTGGGATCCAGCAGTGAACAAAGAAGACAGAATTCCTGGCCTTCGTGGAGCTTGTGCTTTAGGGGAGGGAGACAGACAACATAAAATAAAGGAGTTGTCAGATGGTGTTGAAAGAAAGATTAGGGGTGGCTTTACCTAGTCTGCTCCATGAGGGCCTCCCTGAGAAGGTGACATTTGAGTGAAGACCTGAAGGAGGTGAGGGGGCAGGCCACGTGGATATTTGGAGGTAGCACGTTCCATCCCAAACAGAGGGAACAATAAATGAAAAGCCCTTGAGATTGGATGGGTCTGGCATATTCAAGTAGGCTAGTGTGGCGGGCAAGGGAGGGGAGAGAGGTAGCACATGTGGTCAAGGGGACAGTGGGGAGCCAGATCATGAGGGTCTTGTAGACCAGGTAAGGACTTTGGTGTTTACTCTGGGTGAAATGGGAGCCATTGGAGAGTTCTGAGCAAAAGAGTGACGTGATCTGACTTCCATCTTCGAAGGATCACTCTGGCTGCCTTAGAGAATCTGAGGGGGCAAGTGCAGAACAGGGAGACTTGCTAGAAGGCTCCATCCAGGTGAATTCATTCAGGTGCTAGAATTCATCCAGGTGAGAGGTGACTGTGGTTGGAGCCCAGGTAATGGCAATGGCAGTGATGAGAAGTGGTCAGATTGAAGATATATTTAAGAAATAAAGTCAACAGGATTTGCTGTTGGATTGGATGTGATGTGTGAGAGAAAGAGAGGGGTCAAGGATGACTCCAAGGCCTTTTGCCTGAGCAACTAGAAGAATAGAGTTGACATTTAGGGAGATGGAGGAAGACAGTGGGAGGAGCAGGTTTGGTGAGGAACACCAAGAGTTCTGCTTTGGACATGGCAGGTCTAAAATGTCTAATAGAAATCCAAGTGGAGATGTTGAGTCGGTGGTTGGATAGATGGAGGTTGGGTGGATGTGTAAATTTGGGAGTCAGAGTATTTAAAGCCGTGGGCTGGTTACAGTCGCCTGGAGAGTGAACATAGACAGTGAAGAGGACTGAGCACTGGGCCCAGCGTTTAGAGCTTGGGGGAGAAATAGCCAATGAGAGAGGAGGGGGCGGGGGGAGAGAGAGAGAGAGAGAGAGAGAGAGAGAGAGAGAGAGAGAGAGAGAGAGAGAGAGATGTCCATCCCAGGAGGCAAAGTGGAGAAAATGCTTTAAGAAGGAGGGAATGGTCAGCCATGTCCAAAGCTGCTGAGAGGTCAGGTGATGAGGACTGAGAAATGACCAAGGCACTTGGCAACAGAGGGGTCACTGGTGACCTGGACAAGAGGTGATTTGGTGGAGTGCTGGGGACAAAGTCTAATGGAATGAGTTCAAGGGAAAAATGGG